ATTCCCTGTTAACCTTGGGGTGCGACAGGGATGTCCTCTGGCTCTCACATTATTTAACATCTATTTTGACCACGTAGTTTGTGAAGCCTTCAATAGCTGTACCGGGGGAATCTACATATGGTACAGATATAATGGGAGGCTGATCGACGCCCGGGTGCGGTCAAGGGATGGCTCCCTATTGCTCAACCACGTTATGTATGCTGATGATTTGGTAATAGCTGCACATTCGGAGGAGGAATTGGAGACGCTGCTGCTGAGACTGGAGCGTGCCACTAAGAGGTGGGGCCTTACCATCAGCCCCACCAAAACTAAGCACCTGCCTGGGTATTTTGTACCATCGGACACTCCACCCCCACAACTCCCAATCGGTGATGGGGCAGTTGTGGAGAGAGTGGAGAGTTTCCCATACCTGGGCAGTGTGCTTATGACCGGCTCCAGTTTAACAGCAGAGGTCTCACTCCGAATCAGTCGAGCGGCAATATCTTTTCATCGGTTGCGTAATGCTGTGTGGAAGCTACCTGGTCTGTCGCTCCGCACTAAAAGCTTCAGGTCTTCTCGGCCACGGTCATTCCCTCCCTTCTCTATGCTTGCGAAACGTGGACCCCCCTAATGGAACATCTTCACCGGTTAGAAACATTTAGGCTGGCCTGCCTACGATCCATCCTGGGTTTAACCAGACTGGATTGTGTGAGGAGCTCACAAATCCTTGAAAGATCTGGGCAGGGTCCCATCAGTAAGCTCCTCCGGCAGGCAAGGCTGCGATGGCTGGGTCATGTAGCCCGCATGCCCAGCCACCGCATGCCGAAACAGCTTTTGTTTGGCCGGATTGAGGGGGCTAAGCGGGCGTGGCACGGGCTAGAGAAGAGATGGAGTGATGTGGTACAGGAGGACGTGGAGCTGAGTGGACTTGCCGATGACTGGTACCAGCGGTGTCAAGATCGGCCTCTGTGGAGGAGGCTCGTGAAGGATGCTACTGGGCAGTTGGAGGCAGTCGCCCTCCAACAACAACGGAGGACGGAGGAGCGACGCTCAGAACAACGAGCGGAGCGCCGGGTGGCTAAAGCACAGCAGGTTGGCACAGTAGGGGGCACAGGTGGTGCATCAGCCAGTCATCTCAGTCAGTCGACCCGTGGCACCTGGGTCTGCCCCGTGACCTCCTGCCAGCGGGCGTTCGACACTTCACGTGGCCTCAGGGTGCACATAGCCTGGCACAAGCGTCGTGCTGACGTCACCGCCACATAGTGGCGAATGGCGGTTGTTGTTGTTGTGGTTTTGGTGGTGGTGGTTGTGGTGGTGGTTATGGTGGTGGTTGTGGTGATGGTTGTTGTGGTGGTGGGGGTGGTGGTTGTGGGAGTGGCTGTGGTAGTGGTTGCTGTGGTGGTGTTTGTGGTGGTTGTTGTTGTGGTGGTTGTGGTGGTTGTTGTGCTGGTTGTTGTGGTTGTTGTGGTGATGGTTGTGGTAGTGGTTGTTGTGGTGGTTGTGGTGGTGGTTGTTGTGGTGGTTGCTGTGGTGGTGGTTGTGGTGGTGGTGGTTGCTGTGGTGGTGTTTGTGGTGGTTGTTGTTGTGGTGGTTGTGGTGGTTGTTGTGCTGGTTGTTGTGGTTGTTGTGGTGGTGGTTGTGGTAGTGGTTGTTGTGGTGGTTGTGGTGGTGGTTGTTGTGGTGGTTGCTGTGGTGGTGGTTGTGGTGGTGGTGGTTGTGGTGGTGGTGGTTGTGGTAGTGGTGGTTGTGGTGGTGGTTGTGGTGGTTGTGGTGGTGTTTGTTGTGGTGGTGGTTGTGGTGGTGGTTGTTGTGGTGGTGGTTGTGGTAGTGGTTGTTGTGGTGGTTGTGGTGGTGGTTGTGGTGGTGGTTGTGGTTGTTGTGGTGGTTGTTGTGGTGGTTGTTGTGCTGGTTGTTGTGGTTGTTGTGGTGGTGGTAGTGGTTGTTGTGGTGGTTGTGGTGGTGGTGGTGGTTGTGGTGGTGGTGGTTGTGGTGGTTGTGGTGGTGATTGTTGTGGTGGTGGTTGTGGTGGTGGTTGTTGTGGTTGTTGTTTACCGGGATAGAGCCTCGCTCTCTCATAGGGATGTCAATTGAGTATCAGCGAGCATGGAAGCGATGTCCAGGTTGGAACTTTACAGCGCGGGGCCTAGCCACGCGGGGCCTTGCCTCCTGTCCTCGCCTGATCGCGTTTGCTTCAATTCTCTCGCATAAGTTTAATTTGTCTTCACACGGCGCGCCACTTTGTCACTTTGTTTTACTTTTAAATATTCACGCAGTTTTTATTTCATTCTTTTTTTACCAGGCCAAGCCCGCTTGAGCTGCTGTGCCGCTTTTGTTTTCAGAAGCGACCTGCCCACAACACAAGGTGAGGCTCGTGAACAGTGTGGTGGTGTTCACTCTAGACGCGTGGCGGTGTTCACTCTAGACATGTGGCGGTGTTTACTCTAGACGCGTGGCGGTGTTCACTCTAGACGCGTGGCGGTGTTCACTCTAGACATGTGGCGGTGTTCACTCTAGACGCGTGGCGGTGTTCACTCTAGACGCGTGGCGGTGTTCACTCTAGACATGTGGCGGTGTTCACTCTAGACGCGTGGCGGTGTTCACTCTAGACGCGTGGCGGTGTTCACTCTAGACGGGTGGCGGTGTTCACTCTAGACGCGTGGCGGTGTTCACTCTTGACGCGTGGCGGTGTTCACTCTAGACGCGTGGCGGTGTTCACTCTAGACGCGTGGCGGTGTTCACTCTAGACGCGTGGCGGTGTTCACTCTAGACGGGTGGCGGTGTTCACTCTAGACGTGTGGCGGTGTTCACTCTGGACGCGTGGCTGTGTTCACTCTCTACATATGGAGGGGAAACCCGGGGATCGGGAAGGAAATCCACGCGACCACGGGGAGAGAGAGAGACACGCAGCCTCAGCTGTGTTTATTTATCCTCAATGAATTACTTTGTGGAGTGAGGAACCATTAATACTGAGCAGGTGAAGGTGGCCAGGCGTGGGTCTGGACACACCACCACCTGTGAACCATGCCAGTGTGTGACAGTGGTGGAGCCAGTCGGGGTGGGGTGGCACGTACCCCCCCAACGGTCCGATCGAAATCCCTAATTTAAATCGGATCATTGGGGTTTATTAGTAATTAGCTTCACTACCCGGCTTCGCCCGGGACTTGAATTCTTGTCTTGGATTAATTTCATATTCCCATATTTCACTAAAAAACTGTGAAAAAAATTGATGCTTCCAAGATAGAAAAAAGCTGACAAAAATCAATTTAAATCTGATGTTTTTCACTGAAGGAAATTTAACCTTAACCCACTTCTACGTAAGGTCGACTTTGGCAACTCGGGAAGGGAATGACGTGGCGAGCTGAAAATAGTCGTGTTCACTTAGACATTCCAGACAGCATAAGCTGTCAAAATTTCATGACGCCAGAGCTCAGCCATGGATAGTTTTTGGTGCTTCACACAAACAAACAGATGCTATTTCTGCTTTATATTTAAGATAGCCGTTGTACCCGTTCTTCACACGGATATGTATTGAAACTCCGAGAAGCCAATGGCTTCATCGGCCAGGAGCAAAGCACCACCTAAAATCTCCCGGCACGCTGTTAACAGCTCTAGAAGTACGGCGCACGAAGAGCCATATGGTAGGGGTAAGCTTTGCAGAACGCTTAACTCAGGTGTGTTGCCGGTTAACGTCACACACTCCATGGTCCTTTCCCCCCCCCACCCCCCCCCACCCCCCCCCAAATACAAATGTCTATTTTTATACTTTTTACATTGTGTACAGTACGGAACCTACCCACATGCCAAATTTCAAGTGTGTAGCATGTTGGGAAGTATGCTAAACACTTTCGAACAGACACACGTATCCACACATTTCGCTTTTATATATATAGATACATCAGCATTTTGCGACCCCCACTGCCACCGTGTGGCATTTTATTACGTGACAGGGACTCTATGAGAGGACAACAGTCCGAGTCCATAATTGGCAATAAGTAACAGCAAAGCAGTTACAAGCGACTCACAGAATTGTGTGCAGTTGCGTATACAGTACACGACTTCCCTGATTGCAAACACCTTCAGCGAGCGCGATGACGATCACACGCGTCGAATAAAAATCATAGGACAAGTCCTTGGTAACAACTCCTTACTTAATAACAGCTCCTTAATAACAACTCCTTACTAACAACTCCTTACTAACAACTCCTTACTAACAACTCCTTACTAACAACTCCTTACTAACAACTCCTTACTTACTAACAACTCCTTACTAACAACTCCTATCATTTTTTATTGCAGAAGGGGTTGCCCCCCCTGCCTGAAAATCCTGGCTCCACCTCTGAGTGTGTGACAGGGTCAAGTTTGTATTTGCAGTAAAGTAATAACTCGATTGAGCATGGAGGTTATATCAAAACAGTTTATTTTAGTTTTCTCTGGAACTCTTTGTAAGAATGGAGTCAGGAAGTTATCACAGCACACGTGCAGCTGAAGTCGGAACTGTTCATCCCAGCATTCAAGGACATCTGTGCCTGGCTTCACACCTCTAAGTTGCGATTGAACATTAATTTATGCATTAATACGTAACACAAATATTATTATTTTCAAGACCCTTTGCTATGTCAGCTGAATTTAGCTTTCATAAATATTCCTTTTGAAGCCAGACCGCCGAAATTGTGTGCTCGGAGTTTGGGTTAACATTCATTTTGAAGATGCTAGGGCTTCCAGACACATTTATGACATTTGCCCTCTCATTGTGTGCCATAACAGCCTGTGTGATGAATTTGGGACACTTTTTCACTATATCATGAAATTATGAATAAGTATAGACATGTTAGTCACGTGTTGCTGTGTGTATGCATTCCTCTGTGCATCAATACTGACGTGTAGATGGTGTGGACATAATTTTTTTCTGTCTGCAGCTGACGCTTCCTCTGTTGCTTCCTCTGCAGAATTTGTCTGATGGAGCAAAGGCACTCGGCGCAGCTCGGTACAACAAGGCATCATTGCGACCGGTGTGCATACAGCACGGATCGTACTGGAAATTTGACCTTGCACCAGAGAACTCACACGGGAGAGAAACCCTTCAAGTGCAGTGTGTGTGGAAAGATGTTAGCACAGTTATCAAATCTTCAAGTACACCAGAGAACACACACAGGAGAGAAACCCTTCAAGTGCAGTGTGTGTGGGAATGCGTTTTCACATTCATCTGCTCTTGTAACACACCAGAGAACACACACGGGAGAGAAACCTTTCCAGTGCAGTGTGTGTGGGAAGGCGTTTGCACATTCACCACATCTTCAAAGACACCAGAGAACACACACAGGAGAGAAACCCTTCAAGTGCAGTGTGTGTGGGAAGGCGTTTTCACAGTCACCACATCTTCAAGTACACCAGAGAACACACACTGGAGATAAAGCCTTCAAGTGCAGTTTGTGTGGGAAGGCGTTTTCAGATTCATCTACTCTTGTTATACACCAGAGAACTCACACGGGAGAGAAACCCTTCAAGTGCAGTGTGTGTGGGAAGGCGTTTTCAGATTCATCTACTCTTGCAAGACACCAGAGAACACACACGGGAGAGAAACCCTTCAAGTGCAGTGTGTGTGGGAAGGCGTTTGCACAGTCATCTACTCTTGTAAGACACCAGAGAACACACACGGGAGAGAAACCCTTCAAGTGCAGTGTGTGTGGGAAGGCGTTTGCACAGTCATCAAATCTTCATGTACACCAGAGAACTCACAAGCATCAGAAGATCCACAAGGAGTGGAGTCTGAAATCAGCTTGTGACAGTCAAAGTGCCGCAATGAGCCCATCCCTCATGAAACAAGAACCGGAAGAAAATCCCAGCTTGGACACTTTTAAAGGTATCGAGGTGAAATATGAAGAGGTGAAGGTGAAATGTGAAGAAGTGATGGTGAAGAGTGAAGAAGTGAGGGTAAAATGTGAAGATGAAGATTCAACTCCAAAATCGGACCTTCACATCGATGGAAGCAACGTGAAGCAGGAGGAGAATTCTGACTGTGAGGCAGAGCGAGGCAACTCCCAGCAGTTTGTGGAAGTGGAGGTGTGGGTAGACTTCCTAGACAATACAAAGTCAAATGGAGACCCGGTAGATGTGTAAGTCAGAGACGATGTCGCTCCAATAGATGCACCTTTGTCACAGGCCTTTAATGACAAGAATGAAGTTGAACACTCAATTCCTAGGTTCAACCTGCAGGGTAAGAGCGGCCAGTCTTTGTGGACCTGTGGGTTGGGTAGATCTCTAACCATGAGCGAGAGCCAATAAGCTCCCAAGCATTCACTATGTTCTCATAATTGCATTTACATGGTGCTTGCTTAATCGCCTCTGGCAATTCGGAGTTTTGTTTCGTATCTTGTCTCAAACACTCGAAGAGCATCCCCAAGTAGCAGCTGCCCCTGTGTGGTACAAGGTGGTGGCCCTGCACCGGCCTGCATGTGGACAAGAGCCTGTCAGTAGGGGGCGATGGTTGATGTGGCATCTTGGTTGTGGAGTTTGTAGGTAATGTTTAGAATTTGATCAATTTTGACCCAGACGCCACCATGCAATGGCCTACTCATTTTGAAAGGCGCAATAGTATGTTGTACATACACTGCTAAGCGTATTTTTTAAAATAGCTTCTTGTTAATGCGATGTAACCTGATGCAGTATATTACACTGCAGTAATTCAGTTTTGTTAATATTCCTGTCAATAATTTAGAATGAATACTTGTCTGATTGTGTGCGTACATGTAACATTTTGTCTATAAGGGTCAAACATTGAATAAGTGATGTTAGGACAAAGTGTTTGTTTTGGAAGTAACCTGTACAGATAACTCAGGTGAGACTCATTGTTCTTGTGATACAGGTCAAATGGTATTTTTGTGTTTTCAGGAAGCATCTCCCTCTGGAGCAACTCATTGTCTTTGAAATAGGGAGCACACTCGGATCATTCATCAGTGACAAGGCATACCACTCAAAAGTTACACGTAGGGGAGATACATTCTCTACAACACGAATTATAATTCATAATAAAGGTTTTTGGGTTAGATCTAACCCAAAAAACCTTTATTATGAATAATATTGGTCGCGAAAGCCTACGTGTTAAACGAATTATAATTTTGTATTACGTGTTGATGTAGATTTTGTCAAATTAGGACGAGAAATGGTCCAAGCTGTTTAACGTCTGGATGTTCACAACCAAGGGTTGAAGCAAGCCTGACCACCTGCGGCGCCCCTCACAACCATTTACGGCCTTGGGCCAGGAAAGTCACAAAAATAATTGCACACGAACGACACCTCCACGCAAGCACCCGATGCTCCGTTTTGAAGTTTTAAAATGAAACAACTTTGAATTGTATTATGTTTTGAATTCGATAATTGTATTTCTTCATTAAAAGCTTATTAAGTGAAAACGATATTTAGTGTGAATTTTCTCTTGTCATGAAGTAGATGGCCTTGCCGGGGGTTCGGTTCCATGCGGACTTTCACCTGGTTGGGATCGCGGGATCGAGATGAGGCGACACAGAGCTGGCCGTGCGAGAAGACCGCCGTCTGCAGATCGATTCCAACGCGATCGAACGTCTGTCCCTGCACCTCCGTCGTTCATGCAGGATTTATAAGGCTTTTCCAAAATTGATATGAACAATAATATTTGCCATTATATCATAATTTTTTAACATGCTAAAAATAAATTTTGATTTAAAGCTTTCGTGACTGCAGTAATTCATATTCTTAGTTTTTTCGGTAAAGTCACGTTGAAGAGAAACAACAAAATAAAATATATATAAAACAATAAAAAATTCTCACGACGTTTCGACCATAACTCAAACGGTCATCATCAGGTGTGTCGGTTTGCATAAATTTATTTTGAAAACGGCATTTATTTATATATATATAAAAATAACGTTTGCGTCACGCGCAACGATTGGCTGTTTGCCAGGACTAGTCCATCTAGTTCTATTTCCGATGGTCTGAAATCCGTTTTAGCTAAAGGTCTAAACTTTGCAGTCACACCTAAACACATACCAGTTAATGATATAATTGCCCAAGTAGACGTTGCTCTCAGGGGCCTGGGTCACATCGCTGCAGACGTAGCAAGATCTGAAATCGCTGCAACCCTCAAAAACGCTAAGATGCCAGCTAGCAACCTCAGCAAAGATGAGCGTTTTGAATTATATAAATTAAAAAAGAGGAATGATATTGTAGTTCTCTCAGCTGACAAAGGCAATGCTACTGTTATCATGGATAAAATAGAATACAACAACAAAATTAAAGAATTACTCGACGATGGTAGTTATACAAAAATAAAAAGAGATCCCACCAACAGCCTCGTCACACAAACCAACAAAATAATTTCTGATTCAACCGCATTAATTGATCAATCTAAACAGTTTTCGTTGAAACCTTCTGCTGCCAGGCCACCAAGATTATACGGCTTACCAAAAATACATAAAGTTGATACACCTCTTCGTCCCATAGTCTCTACTATCAGCTCCCCCACCTACAAACTAGCTCGTTTTTTGTCTGAAATCCTGCGTCCTTTCACTGGAAAGACCACCTCTGCGGTACAAAATTCTACTCACCTGGTATCAACAATCAAGGGTATTTCCCTGTCCCCAGACGACCTGCTTGTCAGTTTTGATGTAGTTTCCTTATTCACCAAGGTTCCTGTACCTGACACCATTGCAATCATTGAAGACTTGGTTCATCAAGGACTAAACACTGAGGTACCCCCCCTGGTGAGACACTGTTTAACCAATACATACTTCACTTGGAATGGAACTTTCTACAAACAAACTGAGGGCACCCCAATGGGCTCCCCCCTTTCTCCAGTTATAGCTAACATTTTCATGGAGAAATTTGAGACTGACGCCATCCAGACTGCCACTCTGCGCCCAACCTTATGGAAGAGGTACGTGGATGACACTTTTGTCATCTGGCCACATGGCCGGCCTGCTCTAGACCAATTCTTCGACCACATCAATTTCATACACCCAGCCATCAGATTTACCATGGAAGTCGAAATAGATGGCAAGATACCTTTTTTGGATGTCCTAATTAAAAAGAGACCTGATGGTTCAATGAGCCACTCTGTCTACAGGAAAGCTACCCATACGGATGCTTATCTGAAACCGGATTCCCACCACCATCCATCACAGAAGAATTCTCTCATCAAGACTCTGTATCATAGAGCCCAATGCATATCCGACCAGGAACACATAAGCAGTGAACTCAAGCACGTACACCAAGCTCTTAGGGCTAATGGTTACTCCGACTATACAATCCGCAAAGCTATCACTCAAACCATGAAGAAGAACCCTCTTGAGGAGCCTTTCAAAACCATCACTTTACCCTACATTGCTGGGATCACAAAAAAGATCTCCAAAATCTTGAATAAACACAAGATCCAGGTCCGTTTCAACACATTACATAAAATCCGTGATCTGGGTCCGTCTGTAAAAGATGTGATTCCGGACATACAATACCCTGGTGTCTACAAACTAAGTTGCCTCTGTGGTAGTAGTTACATTGGAGAAACCAAACGCCATATCTCGGACCGCATTCGTGAACATAAAGCAGACCTTAAACACGGTAGGACCAACACCTCGGCCGTAGCAGATCATTGTTCTAATTCAGTAGGCTCACATGCCATTGACTTTTCCAAGACGGAGGTTCTTTGTAAGCCATCTGGCTTCCATGAGAGATTCGTTCATGAGGCTATCCACATATACAAACACAGAGACAATTTCAACCGAGAAGATGGATTCTATCTTAGCAATCATTGGAAAGATTTGATAAATCATTTCAGTTCTTGATTGATTGTTCACGCTTACAGTGCCTTTCAGACAGCATACATAAAAACAAATTTCGTCTCCCCCCTCCTCTTTTCAAAAAATAGATGGACTAGTCCTGGCAAACAGCCAATCGTTGCGCGTGACGCAAACGTTATTTTTTATATATATAAATAAATATGCCGTTTTCAAAATAAATTTATGCAAACCGACACACCTGATGATGACCGTTTGAGTTATGGTCGAAACGTCGTGAGAATTTTTTATTGTTTTATATATATTTTGTTATTTTGTTGTTTCTCTTCAACGTGACTTTACCGAAAAAACTAAGAATATGCTAAAAATAATTAATAAAACCCATAAGCCAGGCACACAAAAACAGATGTCGATCATAAACAGGCCATAAATATATAAAGAAATAATAAAACTCTCAAGGCGAGGATGTTAACAGCTATTGGCGAAGATCTCCAGATGAACAAGAGTTTGATGTGCCCTAAGGGAGGTCACGCAGAGGGAAGACCTCCGCAAGCCAGACACGAGGATGCCCACGGGTTAAACCATATATTTTTTTTTCCTTTGTCATTAAAACAACGGTTAAAATTTAAAATGCAATAACAAGAATAACCTAAAGTTAGCGGTCCTCGCGCTCACTCCAATTAAGACCAGGCCACTAGATACATCAGTTAATTATTATCCAATAATTCGCTATCAAATGATTTTCACCTTGAATACTTTTACTGTTAAAACAAAGCTTGGAGACAAATACCGAGTCACATCAAAGGTTTTCGAGAAGGAATGAGGCGAACGGGTAAACTTACAAAAGAGTTTAAACAATATCCCAAGCAACCCCGACCACCTTTGTCTCTCTCGCAGCGCGTAGAAGCAGGAACCACACCTTATCACAAGGGGCCATCTGGAGCGAGCCAGACG